GCTCCCGTAAGCTACCGTGAGTGGCTGGCAGCTGGCGTGAGCTGCCGTGAGCCGCCATAAGCGGCCGTCCAATGGCCGGTGAGCAACTGTCTCACCCGGGAAGAGCGCAATAATATCAACATGGGCCAGTAAAGTGACATCCTCCACAACTAGACTGAAGAACAAAAGGACAGCAACTTGTCTGTTCCCCAATATTGTTCCCCTCCCCCAATGCCCCAATCAAATCTTAAAAAAAAAAAAATAGAGGATGGCATTTGAAATAAGTCTTTGGAACAATATCAAATAAAGAATACTTTTAGGTAAAATGTTACAAGAATAATTTCTAAAAGGAAGAAAAGCAGTAATTCTTCTACCAGCCAACACTACTTATTAAAATATAGCATCTAGAATATCTTAGGGTTTCCTTTCATTGTTACTTTCTCTGAGGGGATGGTGAAGGGAGAGAGAGAAGTTCTTACATCTTCAGGGTGAAATCGTACTACTGGGTTAGGGCTTTGCTCAACTTCCTTTACTCCATGGAATGCGCCTGGCCCTTTATGGGATCCCTGGGGAACGAAATACGCACTGTCTAACGACCACTGTTGTGCACCGCTGCCTTAAACTGTGAGCCTATGATGTACCAGTGCTGTGTTACTTCCCTGAGAAGGGTGATCCGATCTAGTATGTCACACAGATCTAACATGAAGCCACGCAGTTGGTTCTAATTAAGTACTTGATGCCTGATGAAGCATCTTCACACTTTTCATTCAAAACCTATAAATACCCTGAACTCATAAGCACAGTTGCACAGACATGGCACTAACAATTATGGACTCCAAGAATGACTGAAATCATCAACAATTTACCGTTCAAATACTGATGTTATACACAATAGCTCCTTTTCATGTCTCACCAGACAGAATCACCTCATCTTTGGTAGCAATGACATAATCAAATATTTCGAAAAAAAAGCCACTTTTAAAGCGAGTTTCCTAATATTGTTTAAATGTTGAAGCTGCGTATTAACTAATCATCAGTCTACAGATGCTTAGAAATAAAACAATACTTTGCCTCTAGATTCAAGTCTCTATGTACTTTCTTGCAACAAAAGCCAATCTGTACTTTTCAAAATTGTTTCTCCTGGCAAATATTTTTGCTGTCTGGCCAAGTTTAGTGTTAAAAATAAAGTACAGTATTACAACATCAATCAACATTTAAAGTACTTAATGATCTATGAAAGAAAATATACAGTGATTCTTTTGAAACAACCAGGCCAATCAAAGTTTTATTTATATTATCAAATCAAGAGTGCAGCTTTGAGAAAATAAAATCACATTTTTGTTTAGAGATATAAAAGCAATATCAAGCACTTAGGTAATAAAAGAAAAAGAGATTGTTAAGAGGACCTGTAAATGGCAGAACAGTTTAAAGACATAACAGAACTGTGTCTTTGCTCCCTTCCTGTCTGTGCAATGCTGGCCTCCTGCCTGTGCTTTCAAATACCAGTTGTATAAGCGTAATTAGGGCTTTTGCTGTAGTTGAGTCCACAAAAATGAGTGCAAAGTTACTATACATTTACAATGAATATAATTGTGACTTTTTACATGAATAGGGACCTAGGCCACGTAAGCCTTGTCATTTATAACCAAAATCTGAAAACACTCTTCTGTTACTGGGGGGTTTAAATGGTACCTAAACAATACTACAGGGTGAAGGGACTCTGCTAGTATTTATCAACTACAGTAAGTCGTAGAATGTTTTATCTTACCATCACCCACTGGCAATGACTAAGGTAAATGTCTAAAAGGAGATATGGCCTTAAATATTGTAACAGCGTGACATACAGCATTGAGTTGTCACAGACCAATGAGTTGGTTCAGGATACCTCCTTTTCACCTCCATTGGTCTGGCCCAATCCTAAGGTATCAATGCTCTAGCTAATCCCCTGGGTACCCAGTGTGTCTCCTCTGGGTTGTTCGTATGTCTTTCAGATAATGCTGTAGTTGCACTGGCCTTCAACCTAACTGGACTGTTTTCCCAATGAATACTGCTTCCAGATAAGGGAAACAATTTTAACATTTAAGGTCCAACACAGAGGATACTGTCCTGTCATCAAAGGAGATGGAGATATACAGAACAAATACAAGTCAGACTATAAATAACCATTTTCCTGACAGGAAGAAATACAGTAACATGGAGAGAACATGAGCTTTGGTCAAGGGTAAAAGATCAGAGTTCAAATCTCAGTTTAACTTATAAAATGGAACTAATACCACCTACTCTATAGTTGCTTGTGAAAAGTAAATAAGAGAAGACTAAGTAATAGTGTATGTTATATAAAATATCCATGATACTCAATATATAGTTGTTTCCTTGATGCCTGTTTCCAGCCCCTCTACTAGATTTAGAGTCCAAGGCCAACCAAGTCTTACAAAGTAAACAGAGGACATTTAGTTGAGCAGTAATTTGCCTCAGAATCAACTTATCTTAGGGCAAACTACCTCACGTGATCTGTCTTACTGTTTTTTGCATTTCTGAACATCTCTCATCTCCTGTCCCCTGCTGGGTTTAGGCTAACTTACTCTGGCTTGTCCTTTGGTATCCATGTTTCAGTGGTTCTTGTCTGCTTGCCTCCTTACTGTTCAAGCCACTGTTTCTGCTGACAGCTCTGCTGTGCCTTATTATTCTGTTTTTGCCTATTTTTAATTTCCATTTCATTTTAGGTGGTACCTCTTAATTCCTTAATTACATGTCTTAGTGCTACAGTGCCAAACCCAGGCACCTAAAATTAGTGTATTTCTAGATTCAATCATCACCTTTCTGATAACTTTTAATCATTACCTACTAAATGCAGCCCTAGAATAGCTTCAACTTCCTAGGGATCCTTAAACCAGAGATTCAATGAGGACATGCCATCTTTGTCAGCTGTTAGATTCAACAAAGCACTTATGAACCACCTAATTATCTGAGGCCCAAGGGAATTGAGAGGACTTAAGAGAAACCTTACAAGCATTAAAAAATATGAGTGGCCTGTATGTAAAGCACTATTTATAATCATAAAAAGCTAGTTATACCCAGATATTCATTATACAAAGAGTTACTGCTTTATTTGACAACACTGTACTAACATATCGGAAGGCTTTAGGTAGGATGAACATGGACTGATTAAGAAGTCATAATCATAAAAAATGAGGTCATTCCAATCAATACCCTTGATGGTTAACAGGGTGACAACCAACATAACTGGACTTCCTCAATACCAGGGAAAACTGATTGGACAGCCAGGGCCAACTTAGGGCTCTGGTTTCACTAGGACCATATTTAAATTGAAGAAAATTGGTCATGGGAGATGGAGATGGAAGTCATCTACCAATGGAAGGTGGTCTCATTCATCTGTACCAACGCATGGGGGAAGGTTACATTTGATTCAACACTAGTGTTGGGGGGGAGGGGAGGAGGAAAAGAAACAAAACCTACTTTGTTTTTTAAGTTCTTCCATTTGTTCTTCCTTTAAATCTAACTGTTCTGTGAGTCTTGAGGCTGAATCCAATGCAGCATTTGCTTCATCCAGACGCTCCTAAGGAACGAAAGTTCATTAAAAAGCAGCATGAAAAACTCTTCCACAAACTATCGGGCTGGAGGACATCTTAGAATCAATCAACTCTTTTCATTTCAGCTGATGAAGCTGTTCCTCTGTGACCCTGGGGACGATCACACAACTAGCAAGTGTCAAAGACAGAACCCACACTTCACAACACAATACTGTCTCCTTTAGAGGAACTAATCAGAAAAAGAGGATGCGACAAAAAGACAACACGGTGACAAAAGTAAAAAACAAAAAAACAAAAGTGACAATAAGAGAATAAAAGCAAATACAAAAAGTCAAAAAATATAGCAACAAATGTTCTTTTTAATTTTTGCAAGCCTGATTGGTATAAAGTAATGTTTCGTTACTACTTTA